CACACACATACACACCTTTGTGTGCTCAGACTTCTGTGGATTTCCACATCTGAACTGTTTGATATTCGCTTCATACAGAAGCTCCTTTGGTGGAAAACAGATAAGCGAACTTTTTAATAGCAGTATATGTAATTGAATTTAAAAATATAAAAATTTTTGATAATATCTACTATTATTGAACTTAAATGTGCCAGCTGCCGTTTAACTGTTAAACATATCTTCTTTTGTATTAGATTCATTGTACCTGAGCCTTTTGATGGTTCTTCTGTTTATTCTCCTCGATTATCTGCTTCTCCTTTGGAGCCTTGTAGGTGCTGCTTGGTACCTGCATGACAAACAAGAGTGACGCACCAGCCTCTACACAGTTTACAGCTTACATTCTCTTTAAGGATTGAGGACATGAAAAATTCTCAAAGTAAAGGACTTTTTGTAACTGATACTGACTGGTTTGCATTTCTTCTGCTGTGGGATGAGCTCGGGCATGGGTAGAGGCCGTGGTTTAGGTTCGGTGAGGGCGAACTCCTGGGGCTCAGTGGTTTTGGTTGCAGCTTTCTTGAGCAGATTCCCTTGAGAGATCTTGACTGCAAGCTGGTCCATGAGAATATCTATCTCAGGGCGCCACCTAAAGGACACACACGCAAACATTTGGGTTGTCTGAATTTGAAATGCTCTGCTCACAAAACAACCTCCACTGGAATACTTGTGCACATTTCTGACCAGACTGTGAGGAAACAGACTCAATGATCAATGGCATGAGCACCCCTTAGTTCCCTATTCTCTTGCATGTTCACACTGAGCCTATGTGACAGGAATGTCTACAGATGCTGTGCCGAACTTCATGTGACTTCAGCGTCAAATCAATCACTGAATACAGCCCTCAAAGGATTAAAAATTTTGTTTGCTACTGACTGCTGTCATGTCTTTTTGTTGTCAGTGAATTACACAATGTGTAGATTTAAGATTTCCCTTCATTTTTTGAGTTATTATAGTGTTATTACCTAAGTAGTATTTTTGTTTATCAGGCTTTTCTCACCTGAGTAGAGGCCCAATCCACTGTTTCTCCACAAAGGCAGCATCATAGATGTTGTTCCACTCATCCTGTATCCACGTGGTGAGGTTTGAGAAGAAGAAACCTAAAAACTAATTTTGAAAAGTGCAACATAAGAAAGCTGCTGATTAATTTCCCTCTTCTGCACCCAGAATTTGTGTTTCTTACCATGTGCATTTTCTTGATGTCCAGAGATTTAACAATGCTGCTAAAACACTGAAGCCCGAGGTCATCAAGAAGAAATGTGGCCAGGTAACAGATAACTGGGGAGCAAGACGATCATTAAAACATGTCAGTTCTTTTATTCAGGCTGAAATCAGGAGTAGCAATGAAGTTACTCACCAACAAACTGGCTACGTTCACCTCTGGACACTGATTTTACGTGCTGGCCAAAGAAGGTATTGATGACTACATCCAGCAGCTTCTTTTGCTCAACACATCCGGAAACAACATCAAGAATGAACTTCCTCTGCAGCATGTCCATGTCCTGTGACAAAACAAGAAATACAGACCAATCAGAAGCAGGCCTATGCATCCACTCACATTGATCTGAGTCTGACATACCTGCAGATCCTTCATAGCATCTTCTGTGAAGTCATCCAAACACTGTCTGCTAGCTCTAAACTTGTCGAGGAGCTGAACGGCTTCCTTCACAAGTGATGCATAGTTTGATGCCATCTTAAATCCACTAGAAAAGCCCAAAAATAAACTGTTTATATAAGCAAAGCTCACGCATTGAGAGATGAGAGAACAAACAGTTCTCCCTGGGATAGACAAGCCAACCGGGCTGCTAATGAAAGACATCAATTCACAAAAAACATTTGCTGTCTTCGACTCATAGACAGTCTCCAGCCGTCGCTGTGTTGCGTCGTTGCTTAGCAACAAAAACAGGCGTAAACAGACATACGTCCCAGCTCGAAATGTTAAACGAGGAATGCTTCAGCAAAAAAATTAATTATTTAGATTCAAAAGAGGCGTTTTATTATTGTTCAGTTTAACATATTAAATATTTCACAGTTTTAATCCGTACAGATTAACAGAGTGCCCTCCTCATCCTTTGTTGGCGTCCATAACAATAATAATGACGTAGCGTGTTGTGACGTCTTGCTGGGGCTGTGCTGGTCTCCTGCTGCCTTCATGTGCTTTTGGAAATTCTACAATAGACAGAAGGCGATCAAAGTGACACGTTAAAACATCTGGTCAAGATGGAAACCCGTTCTAAAAACCGAAGGAAAGTTGTTGGCTTGTGCTTTAAAAAATGATGGTTTTACAAAAAAAAAATTGTTTCCTAGCTTACCAGGGATTTTACGTTGTTGGTATCTGAGGGACAAAAGCTAATTACTGGGTAAATCACATGGAAACTGGGTTTTTATTCTCAGAATCGATCATCTGATTTCCTGGTTTAACCTGATCATCATAATCATATTTCTTAACCGGAGTGAAAACAAAGTCATTTGTTGAATTTAAATTAGGAAATACCAAGCTAATCTTATGATTAATCTACATGTGATGTATTAGAAAACAGAAAGTTGAAATGACTCCAAAATAGCTTCTGGACAAACACACACTGCTGATGTTAATCATGTAATACAGGCGAAAGCTAAGGAATAACCTGGAAGTGTATTTTGAGTGAAAATTGTTTTCCCCACTGATATTTTCTCTCTAATCTCTTTTACAAACCTAAACAATGTGCTTAATTTGCTGCTCCTCATTTGGATGGTCTTTACTGCAAAGAATGGCATCTGTACACATCCTAAATCATACATTTATTTGATGAAATTTCCCTGTATTTGCCTGACATTTGATTTTAAAGTTAAAATTAAACAACATTGGGCTACTGTATTGTTTTTCTCACACAACTGAGTTATAAAAACTTAAAACCTCCACTACTCATACTTAAATATATGCATACACTATTAATACAATCTAGATAAGGGGGGGTCAAACCCAATTTCATCTCAAGTGGGCTGGGCCAGCGAAGCTATTGCATAACATTTTAAGAAGATAAAAATGTTATTAAATAAAATGTTAAATAAATCATTTTTTTGTGATTTATTGAATATACTGTTACAAGTGTCAATTTGACACATTTCCTCCAGATTCTAAAATTATTGTAATGTAGTAAATTCAAATTTGTTTCTTAGGTAACAGAAAACAACTGTCATTAGTAAACTTTTCTTATCTGTTGCTTATGTTTTATTACATGAGGAAAAAGAAAGTAAACCATCTTTAAATTTGAAGGGTTTACATATTAAAGCAATAAAAATAATATGGCCCTTACTTAGTCTCAAAATGAGGTTAATTCATCCTGGGATGAATTGCAAATGATGAGATATTATGCTGTATTTATCCAACCAAAAACTAAACCAAAAGGCAGCTGCAGTGTGTGAAGAACTAAGAGACTCTTAAAACGTCCATAGAAGTTATAATCATGGTTAGAAGTTTACATTCACTAATCATAAGCTTAAAATGGTAATGTCGTGGCTTGTAATGATTTCTTTGAACTGGTTTCTTTTTCCAGGGTATACATCGTTAATAACCCATATTCAGAATAATGGGGTAGTCCAAGGAACTCAGTAAGGTTCTAAGAAGGAGGATTGTAGAATTGTGCTATGAGTTTATATCGAGTTCTTTTGGAGAAAGAAAGCTATTTTTGGAGGAGCACTTGAACGCACCACTTCCTGGGAAAGTGGGAGGTGAATGTTGTCAACGTGACTGTCATCGAGTAGCGTTAGAGGGGCAGAGAACAGCGGAGCCTTCGGTGCTCCAGTTGTCTGTATCGTCGGGGACTTGGAAAGTGACTGGGCAGGTGGAGGGACAGGTTGCTAACCTCGGGCTTCAGGGAAAATGGAAATAAGTGGTTATTTCCCAATACCTCCTTTGTGCGCCTTCAGAGCCTCGGTGTAACGTTCAGGACAACTTGCCGTACATTGTCTTTTTTCCTCCTATTTGGACCCAAGAAGCGCTAGCTAGCTTAGCCGCCAGCCAGCCGCCGATAGTGTCAGACACACAGGTACAGGAGAAGAGAGGAGGGGTTGGTGACAAAGGAAGGTGGCGAGGTAACGATGAACCGCTTTCGAAAGTGGCTGTATAAGCCCAAGGTAAGTTGTTGTGTCAGCCCCTGCAGTCAGTCATTTTTTATGCATAGAGCTCGCTAGCCTGATCATTTCATAGACTGTCGGCACATCTGCTAACGTTAGCCCGTGTTCCTGATGTTACACTGTATTAATCAGCAGCTATCCCCTTTGTTGTTGTTGATGCTTTTGTTTTGAAGCTGTAGTCAGGACTAACAATGCTACAGTCTGCCAATTTGGGCTAATACTCATTTACTTACATCTGTCTTCAGCTGACATTAGTGTTCATGTGATTCTGTCTTGTTATTTTAAAGGTTTGAAATACCTTAATAAATCAGTGATTAATAACAATCACAAGACCACATCAGAGCTGAAAAAATATTCGTTTTGCTTGTAATAGTAGTGTCATTATCAAGTCGTTACCACATAAGAGGAAATATTTTAAAAAGGAGAATATATTTTTATAACAAAAGCTCATGTTTTTAATTTCCTTAAAAACTATTTGTTTTCATTATTGATTCTGCTGGATATTTTTTTAATAAATGGGTTTATCATTTGGTGCATATACATGCTAGAAAATAGCACCTTTTTAAAAAATAAAAAAAGTGCAAAAAACATGATTAAAATAAAAGTATGTGTTTATTCCAAACAAAGAACAAATAAAACATGGCACAGTTTACCTGAATTTGTTATTCTGGTTGATGTTTTCCAAGATCCAAACCTTTTTTAAAGTAGAAGGTGACATATTAATATGGTTTTGTTGTAGTATCAGTTCAAAGTCCAAATATATTTTATTTATATCAGGCAGGACAAAGACACTTTGTTACAATTGATAAGGTGGACTTTAAGAAAACATTGTTTTGTAGCATCGAAGCCTTAAAGACCACCAAAATACCTACCAGCTATTTTTCTCATGCAGTTTATTTAAAATATTGATTGTCTCAGCTCTGTATACCATTTGTGAATACAGTCTGAAAAAGGCAAAACAATCAAATCCTGCCCGGGAAACACATTTGTCAGCAAAATCGTCACTTTTTGGGTGCGCTAGTAATGGATGTGCTGTGATTCTTTAAATCAAGCTCAAAGTGTGGAAACATGCCTGACACAGCAGAGGAAGTATTAAAGGCTTGGTTGCCTTGTTAAATGAACAGTTCAGTATATGCCAACTGCAGCACCTTTTAGGATGAGTGAACGTGAACATTTCTCTGGATTGAAAATTCTTGTTAACTTTATAGCAGTGTGTTTGTGTCAGTATATTGACTTAAGGATTGCACTTAAAAGGTTAAACCTGTGTCATAGCTGCTGTACATTGTAAGTCTTTAAAGATTATTAAGCCTCTTAAACAAGCTGTTGACTGGTGGAGGTAACTGTTATTTCTTGGCATGCTCCTGCTTTACTGAAAGTTCCTCGATGATAATGTTCAGAAAAACCCTTGTTATTATGATACCTGTGATAAGAGGTAAGTCAGCTGATAGGTCACTGTGTGTTTGAACTCCACACTCAAGGACTCATCGGATGAAACAGTGGTGATTACAAGATATGCTGCATAGCTAAGCAGTTGTGATCACTCACAAGGCAAGCTAACCGAGCTTGAGCCAAACTATAGAGCATAGACCATGGGTGGGCAATTAACTTTCCCAAGAGGCCGTAGGAGAAACTGGGACTGTTGTGGACTTGCCCTACATTATGATTCGATTGGCTAGCAACAATGTGAGCAGAGCAACATAGTTCAGGGAGATTAACAGATGGAGTGGTGCCAGCCTGTTATGGTAAAGAGTGAGCTGAGCTGTCGATTTAAGTGCCAATCTATTTTCCTAGCTAACCTATGGCTTAAGATGCATTCTGGGCACCTCCTAAGTGAGTTGTTCCGGTCCCATAAAGAAGGGGTCCAGGGGCAGAGCAAGGACATGTTGGAGACATCTCTTGGCTGTTTTAGAAGCACTTCAGTGTTCCCCCAGAAGAACTGAGGAGGTGGCTGGAGACAGGGTTTCCTGGGCATCGCTGAAAATAAATAAAACGTAATCGATTCATGTTCAATGTAAAGGGATTTTTTTAGCCTTGGAGGAAGGGAGTTTCTACAGTTCATTCACACATTGGCAATAAAAAAAAGTGTTTAATACATGAAAAATACGTGTTGCCAAACCTTTAAAAGGTTTGGCAACACGTATTTCCAATTGGGAGCATAAGTAGAGTATAAGTCAGCCTTCTTGATAATAGAAAACTGCTGAATCACATCATCATTGGGTAATTATAATAAGAGCTTTTGCAACAGTAGTGTCACACAAGGCTTAGATAAAAGGCCTCTGATTACACTTTGTCCACCTGTTCTGGACCACATACACACACCTGCGTCATTCCCTGTTCCTGAGTCAAACTGTATTTGCTGTCGCAGCATTTCGGTGATCTGGGGTCAGGCCAAAGTGTTGGGGTTCACCAGAGTATTGTTACATTCGTAAACGACTACTGCCTCTAAAGTTTTGAGCTATTGCATCAGTGCCTTTTCTGCCAAATCACAGCTATGGTAGGATTGAAAAGAATTACGCATGAGTCTGTGGGATTTAAATGACCAGTTCTGCCTCAAAGGAGTGGGGAGAGGCGCTAAAAGCTTCTACAGTTGTGCCAATCAGCATGAAAAGGCAACAGTAATAAAGAAAGAAAGTTCAGATGACTTTGGCACATGGTGCTGAAGAGGCACTTTGCTAGCCAATAGTTGTTTAATTTGTTCTAAGAGAAAATATTTCTGTACTAATTAAAATCTGTTTCCATCCCCCATATTTTGGCATTTATTGTCAAACACCACATTGCATTGTCATTTCCATCAACAGTAAGTGGTTTATC